GAATCGGACACGCTAATAGAAGAATCAGATGATGAAGACCGCTGGAGATCTCACCACAAGGCGAAGAAGCACAAGACCAAGGACACCATCGCATCGGCACATCCACAGCAACTGGACAACAAGAAGCAGGAAGAAGTCGAGCACCTCATCACACAGCTCCACGGTATGTCCTTGAACGACCCAACTTACACGGTTTTATATTACAGAGCGAAGAAGATCGACCCCGACATTGTCGGAGTCGTAATGGCCCCCTCGACTGCAGCACAATCGACGCCACAAGCTATCAACAGGAACTACAACCCGATTCCACCTATGCCGACGCAAGTGCAAGCACAGCCACCGCCACCGCCGCCGCCACAGCCTCAACCACAGCGACAGTATCAACAGCAATCGACCTCGACATTCCCCAATAACTTTGGAGCGCATCAATTCATGTGTTACGGATGCGGACAGGCAGGACACAGGATGGCAGCCTGCCCAGATCTCAAGCCCTACCATGATCAGCACTACATCAAGACGGTCAATGGACGAGTTGTTCAAGCTAACGGCGACCCGATACCTAGGACTCCAGGCGAACCTATGATCAAAACCATCGAGCGGATGTTCCCAAGGTCCAATATCACCGTGGTTCCAGAAGAACTCGACCAGATTTGGCTGAACAATGAGCAAGAACAAGACGACGACGACGATGAAGTCACTGTCTATATGGCACGTGATGGATTGCGGAGCGGTACCAGGCCCAAGGATGCCTCAAAAGCAAATCGGATCCCAGCGCACGACACCTCCTTCCCCAAAATGACCACCAAAGGATGGATAGGCAAGCAGCGAAATCCTCCCAAGCCCGCGGACACCCAGCCTCAACACACACCAGTCGACGTCTTTGACAAGGCATTCAACTCGGACGACTCGGACGTTGTTATGGAAGATCCTCAACTTGCGCCTGTCACTATACTCAAGCGACCCTCGCCTACCACTCAGGAGAAGGACCGCGAAGCTCAGAAGACTGGCAAACTGACATCTTTAAATTCTGAACAGGTCGATCACGACGCCATCTACAATCGGTTCCTCAACGCCAAGGTCGAGCTCACTCAACAGGAACTCTGTGCCATCTCTCCAGAGATCTCTAGGCGAGTCGTCATGGATAACAAGCCCACCAGGTCTCAACTCAAGGAAAACAAGGAGCCAGAACCTACCGGACCCACCGTGGCAAGAATCGTTGGCGACAATACACCGGCACCGAAGCTTCCATCGCGCATCACAGAAGTTCGCCAGAGTCTCATCAAGATCAATGCTGAAATTAATGGCAACACTATACCTGCGGTCATCGACACCGGCTCTATGATCAACATCGTGCACAAGACCATCTGGGAACAATACATCAAACGACCTCTCGACAGATCTGTTACCTTCCCGGTAAAGGATGTCAACGGCGGAACAGGACGACTAATTGGCCTAGTGGGAGAAGTACCCATCGACTGCGGAAGAGCAAGAACGATCGCCCAATTATGGGTATCGGATTCTATTGACTTCCCTCTTTTGCTAGGGCGACCTTGGACATCCTCAAATTCTGTCGACATTATCGAACGGGACGGCACCTACCTCATATTCAACTACCCGGAACACAACGTGCAACTCGAACTCAAGGTCGGCACGGACTCAGACGATAATACTAACATTTCGCAGACTATGGGCCTCACTACGGAGCACGGACTTAGCGAAATCCGCGAACGCGCCGGGCCGGAACGTCACCGGTGGCGTGAGAAGCCGCGGCAAGACGCGCCTCACGTGCTCGCCACGCGACTGCCCATTATGGAGGAGAGCGACATGCGATCTTATCTTTCAGCAACACCGCCACCCCGACGCCCGACTCTCGACGCCAACAACTTAATCGACGATATCGCTGCCGCCGCCGACTCTCAACTTGCCCGCGCCCAGTCAAGAGGCGGCTCTTCGGACCTCGACGACGACGACTACCGACAGACTCAGGCGGACGTTGACGCTGCCGTCCGGCAGTGTCAAGGTACGCCCCGCGCCAGCTCGGATTCCCCGAACTTGGCCACTGCTACTAACCACTTCGAATTTCTTTTAGATCTCGATGATCGCTATCAAGCGCGATTGTTCACCCGTCCCTTGCGCGGCGGGCAATGGACGCTCCTCACCGACACGCTCGCGCATCTCCCGGCGGGAATGCACCGACTTCTGGGTACGTACGGTACCTTCGAAGTCACGCTGACCACACTCGACAATAGGCAAACCCGGATATTGCTCACCCTCGCGCACCCTCGAACGGCACCCGAACGCACGCCGCCCCTCGAATCGAACTCGGCACATCAAGAACTCTTGATGTATGAAGACCGGCCCGTTCCGGACAGCCTTCAAGATTCCGAATCCGGACGATACGACCCACGTAAAGATAGGCGTGGAGGCCACGACTCAGCCCTCCATACGGAGCCCCTTCGTCGGGCGCTCTCTCCACTTACCACCCACCACCTCCACCCGGAAGAGCAAGGCGCGGACGAGCTTGGTGAGTACAATAACACGAGGCTCCCAGACGACTCACCAACGCTTCCAAGACATTATGGACGACCCCGACGACATGGAAGAACTCGACAGCGGCCTCTAATCCTAGACGGCCGGTCTCCCAGCAGCCCCGCATCCACTCGTACGGTCAGCACTGAAGACCCCTCCCGAAACGAACCAGCCGACCAAGCCGAACCCGACGATGAAGACAGCGAACCCCCAGAAGGCCAAGGACGTCCGGTTAGTAACGCCGCAGGATCATCAAGGAACTCGTCGATCTTTGACGTTTCCTTGAAGGTTCAGTCCCCGTACACTTCCCGAGCAAAGTTCCGGAGTCGTTCTCGGCGGGACCGATGGATCGAGGCCCCAAACCTCGTCGCATACACGCAGCATCCTGAACAACTCGTGCCCAGAACTCGAATAGCGGCGGCGTTCGCGAAGGACATATACCCGCCAGACGGATCTCGCGCGACTCTGCACGTCTTCATTACCATCCCACCGGACGATAGCGACTCCGAAGAATCACGGTCCGACGAGCGTGGAACAAATACGCCGGACCGATCTGACGAACACTCGACAGCCGAGCCCTCCTATGGCGAGTCGTCGTCGAGCCGGCGC